AGGAGTTGGGGGAGCGGAGCCCCGCGGGCACTGCGGGCCGCTCTGTGGCTGGGCTCCCAGGCACCCGGGGTTCTCGCGAGCTCCCCGCGGGTCCCCGGCGAAAGGAACAAAAGGCTTTGGCGGCACGCAAGAATGGTGATGCGGGGCGGGTGGATGGAGGGGCTTTCCGTGGTCACGTGCTTCCGTCCCAGCACAGCCCCCACGTCCAGCCCAGCCTGACTCGGGCCCGAAGTCCTTCGAGACTTGCACGACGCCAGTGCCGCGGGCGTGTCTGCAGACGATCTGGACATCGCATGGTTTCACGTGTTCGAAAAGGAAGAGAGCGCGCGCTGATTATCCGGGGTGGGAGAACGCAGGCCCAGAAAACTGAAGTGAGTTGCCGGCGTCGTCGGGGCTTTTAGTGGCAGGGCCAGGATCAGAACCTGGGCTCGGAGTACCCACTTCCAAACCTCCGAAGCCCCTCTCGATTCAGGGGAGAATATGCCATTAAAAAAAAGCACAAGTATGACTGCAATCTAAAATTAACGGTATTCAGAAAACAAAGAGCTTAAAGCACCGATACGTGCTTAGCACAGTTGAACTTGTAACTTTCTGTGCCTTGGGACTGACTTGCTGGCGCCTCAGCGGAGCCAAGCCAGTCGGTGCTTTCTGAATTGCCTTTCAGGTTGACAGTGCCTCTTGGCTTTGTGCCTGGGACCCAGGTACAGTCGGGAAAGGGTGATCCTAGGCGCTGAGACAAATGCCCGAGAGCCTGTCACCCTGCGACAGCTTTCATATGACAGCTGGTTGGGAGCTGTCTCACTTCCCCCGCCCACTCCCCCGCTCCCCTGCCCCCAGGGAGGGCACGGAATCCAAAAGCAATCTCACTGCCATCTTGTCCATGCGGACTCAAAGCGCCCCTAATAGGACAGGGGAGGGCTGCCCTTGTGAGTTTCTGAGACTGCACACCCTTAATGGGAGTAGAAAGCCCCTTCTCTCTCCCAGAGAAGGCAAGGCTGCAGGAGGGGAAATTTATATAGATTATATATATAATCTAGAGAACAAAAGTCAGGAGAGGAAGCTTTGGGGGAGGGGGGTGGCAGAAGAGGGTGGAATGCTTTCACGAAGGGCTTTTACCACCCAAAATAAAACAGGAGGACACCACAGCGTTTTTAAAACACCAGAGGGAAAGCTGTCAGTAGGCAGTCGGAATCCAGGGAGCAAGCCAAGGTGGGACAGGCACAGCAGCTGCTGGATCAGTGACAGCTGCAAGGAAAAGGCTGAGCCAGGCGCCCACTAAGCCTCGCCTAGAGACCTGCCCCAGCCCTGCCTGCACAACCAGACCACCTTTATCTCTCCGCTCCAGGCCTTGTTCCCTCTCGAGCTCTTTGCACCCGGAAGCCACCTTACCATCATCTGGCTTGCCGTCCTCTGTCTGCTCTCCTCTTCCACAGAACCAAGTCCTTCTAGCGCTGTGGCAGGTGTGGGAGTCAGCAGGAGCCTGGCTGGGAGGAGGGGATGCACAGAAAGGCTGGGACGAAAAGGGAACTTGAAGCTGCCTTCTGCCCATGTCTGTTACAAAAGCTGCGAAGGCCGCCCTGTGCTCACTCCCTCGTTGATTGCACACCATGAGCACCCTCTTGCCTATGGTAGGAAAAGAGGTTAACCCACTTGAAGGGTAAGAACCCTTTCCACCAGCCACAGAAGCTCCCCTTACCTCTAGGTCTGGATTAAGACAGCAAACCTTGTCTAAAATTAGACTGGAACCAGCCGGGCCAGGAACTGGTCTAGGAGAAGCTTCTGGATTCTGGCTAGCCAAAGGATAGGACAGATTGTAAATCTGATTTTGTAGTAGCTCCAGGAAAAGCTTAAACAGCCCTGACAAGAGTGAAGCCATTTTGAGTGACAGAAGCCATTGTGAACTATAAATGAACTAGCTGATATGAGGGAGGCAGGCTGTGCGGACGAGTGCAACGAACTGTACCGGAGGAAATGTGTGTTCGGAAGGCTTGCGAAAACTAAGAGCAGTGATTGTTCAACTAAGAATGGCTAACTGCAATATCCTGCTTCTACACATTGCAAACGTATGAAAACCGTTGGAAAATTAGACAGGCCACTGCTCAGTCTCCTCTCAGGAGGACTGACAGTCCCTGCCGCAGGTAATAAAACTTTTTCTTTTGAACTTGTCGGCGGTCTGGGACATTTTGTGCTTCTTTGCCACGTTCTTAACTCGCTACCTTCGTCCTTCTGATGTCAGGCCCTGTGGTTGCCCTCAGCAGTCATTCCACATGGAGTTTGGGTTATTTCGCCACCCTCTCGGCTCTATGGGTGGACACTGTTGGTGTAAGCTGCTGGTTTTCAACCTATTGCCAATGAACTCCTGGGGGTCCCCGAGGGCCTTTCAGGCAGTCTGTGGCTTCAAAAAGATTTCAGAATAGTCTGAGGCACTATGTCCCTGCCCCAGACGGTCAAATGCCACGGAGTCAGCACGGCTGGATCCTTCACAAGTCAGCGGCTCCACACAGTGGTGCTTTCTTCACCACCACCACCTAGGGCTAAAATGAAATCATAATAAATTCTGTTTCACTCACGGATGTTCTTCTGCAGCAAAGATTAGTGATTTTATGAAAACCTCAACCCTGAGTAGTTTTCACTGTTTTATGTGATCACGTGGGGCATACACAAAAGGCACGTGCTCCAGGCTGAAGGAGGATCATTGTCTCAAGAGACAGCCCTTGTGCAATCACTGGAGCTGTAAGCTGAACTGGCCACTTTTTATTTTTCATAGACTACCACGGCGACTTGAAAAAGATAGCTGACAACTAGGTTTATTCAGATTGGAGCATTTGGCAGGCATATTCTTAAACATGCAAGAAGTGAAACGGACCCCTTTCCATAGGTAGGTTTATTGTGCCAACCTGGACAATAGGAATATGTGGGATTAATAAGGTCGCCGTTTGATTGGAGGACAAAGAGTTAACTGGCTGGACAAGCCCCGCCTCTCTCTCTTCCTCTCTGGTGATCGGACCAGCGTGTAGCTGCATTAGCTGGTTTTCTGCCTCAACTGAGGTTCCTTCAAGACCTGCTTCACCATGCTACTGAGCATCACTTGAGCTTGGGGCTGTTGGACCCTCTTGCTTTGCTTGAGTTCAATATCCCATCTGAGCCCGCTTCAATAAGCTCTTGAGCTGCTGACTGTTGGTGACCAGCCCTGCTGTTTGCTGCCTGTGGCTGGACTGCCCACATTGCCCCCAGGGAAGACTCAGCTACCTTGGACCCAGTAGGCCTTCTGAGTTGAAGGGCTTCAGTGTATTAACTATTCCACGGAAGTGAGTTGAACTGAGCCCTCTGTGTGTGGACTAATTAGCTGTTGCATTCCTTCATACCGTATATATCTATACATATATATAAAATTTATTTATATTTATATAAAATCATAAGTGTCCTGGTTTTGTTCTCTAGAGAACCGTGCCTAACACACCTCAAAGAAAACAACAGTGAGTTTTTGCTGCTAATGAGAAGGGGGAAGCAGTTTTAGTTTTCAAGATAAATTTTGAATTTTGGAAAACTTGCTTCTGCCACTGTGAGTTTGGCAGCTACCCCCTTAAAGGCTTTCCTGGTGGGATCAACAATATTATGAATATTATTTGGGGAGGTCTGCTTTTAGCTCAGTGAACCAATGTTTTCCAAAAGACTAGTGCAAAGATGTTACAGAACAATGCATGGCCAAAGGTTCTGTTAAAAGTGAAACAAGGACAATGGAGTTTATGCTACGGTGATAAAATGTTAATAGGTACACTTCTGATTCCACCAAGCAACAGAAGAGGAGCTAACTAAGGGACTAAGAAGAAAATCCTAAGCTGTTGAAATACCCCTCCCTTTTCCAATCACGCATCATTGTGAAGGCAGGTTTTCTTCATATAGGTCAATCGCAACTATAATAGATTGAATGCAGAAGCAGCTATGAGAATCCAGCTGCCTTCTATTAAGCTAGACATTAGAGACTTGCAAAAATATAAAGAAGTGTCATTCTTCACACTATTTTGTGTGTTGGAAAACAGTTATTTCTCATCGACATGCTAATATGTAATGGGTTTGCTATTTTCAATTCGTGAATACTTCAAAATTCTCAGTTGCACTTTCTAATTGGGTGAATATTGATTGATAAAACCTACATTAAAAATTACTGAGTTATTTTAAAGAGCATAAAGGGATCCTAAGACCAAAGACTTTGAGATCAGCTAATCTAAGCTATGGAGAGTAGTCTAACCACCCTTGCTACTATAATTTGCTCATGGGTGGCCATCAGAACCAGCTTGATTCAACCA